AATCTGATCTAATAAAAATGGATTCCTATCCAATCCTAATGTGTTCTGAACTGGGCTGTGTCAGGTTTTCTGAAAATTTCCATATTCGGTCATTTTCCGACTAAAACCTTATGGGGGGTTAACGTGTCGCACAGCTTCCCCAAAAGTTTGGAAATCAGGTCAAACAAAGATGGATTCATATTCAATCTGAAGTGTGCTGAACTGTGCCTTATTAGGATTTTTCAAGTTTCCATTTTTAGCCAAAAATATGAAAGTACACAAAGAAAAAATACGAAAATAAAACGAAAAAATTATAGAATACAAAAATAAAAACATATGTATAAAAATGCGTAAATACGATTGCGTGAAAACAGGACAAAAACAAAAATCTAAGAATGCAAATATGCAGAAATTCAATAGTGAAATATAAAAATAAAATTAACTCCGTTAATAATAGTATATTACAATCCGAGACAAAATAGTACATTAAAATACAAGTTTCATAAGACGTCATTTTATCGCACGAGCCCTATATTAGAAAACGAGCCGGAGGCGAGTTTTCTAAAGGGCGAGTGCGATAAAATGTCTTATGAAACGAATATTTTATACTATTTTTTCTATTTTGGTATTGTTTAATTTAAAAAAAAACTTTTCTTGGAAATTTTATTCTCATATTTCCTGATTTCATATGTTTAGGTTGGTAACACTACATGCCAAATATAGAAATCTTCTATTATTTTTTATCGCGAATGACAGTTCGATGGCCATCAGTCAGCCAGTGTTACCAACCTGTGATAAGTAAAAAAGGAGTGTCACAAAGAGCTTCTTTTCGAAACTACTTTTAGTGTCGAAAAGACTTCGATATGACACCAAAATAGAAAAAATACTTTATTTACGACTAATGTATAATGTAAGTATTATACTTGTGATTTTGGCAGTATAATGACATCTGTTATTCCCGCAGGGAATAATGACGAGTAGCGGGATTAATGGTCATTATTCCTCAAAAGTGTCAGTGTCAAACGTGTATTGCTTGTGTACTGAAAATTGAGATGGATGAAATTTGTTCATTTTAAAATTTCAAATAAATTAATTTGTCGTAAATAAAGTAGAGTATACTACTCGCAATAATGGCTATTATTCCCTCGAAATGTTACTCCATCGCCGCTAACGCGGCTCAGTTCGTAAATATTCCTCGGGAATAATAGCTATCATTATTGACTCGTGGTATAATCTACTATTATTGCTGGTTAAGAGGTTATATAGTTTAAGGGAAAAAACAACTTCAATTTCGCAAAAACATATGTTCAAATAAACAATAGAGCGCCAACCGGCTGCCAACCCAGCGCAGAACGGACGAGGAAGTGGAAATGTATAAGTTCCACCTTTTTTCGTCCTTCTGACTTGTGAGGTAGGAACTTTCCTTGGGAATCTCACTTAAAACGCGGTGGGCATGGTGAAGAGAGGATGAAGGCCCGCCAACCATTCCTGTTTAGGCATCAGTAGGTCCATATTATTTATTCACAACAAAAAAAAAAGCTTCTAACTCATAAGGTAGAAAGCCTTATTTTGGGGTAGTGAAAATTCATCCACTCCTCAGCTTCTGCACACCGAAACCCGCCAACCATTACGTTTCTTAGTTGACCGAGGACTTGGCATACCGGGCCACCAAAAAACGGCCATCTAACAGATGACTGAGGCTTTTGTGTCACGGGCTCTTAGACTATTATTAGCCAGCTTGCGGATCAAAATTTATACAGTGTGACCGAATATGGAAATTTTGAGAATACCTAATACAGCACAGCCCAGCACACTTCAGATTGAATATGAATCCATCTTTGTTTGACCTGATTAGTTAGCCTCCAGTAGGATTTTGTCGGAAAATTACCGAATATGGAAATTTTGAGAAAAACGTGATACAGCACAGTTCAGCACACTTCAGATTGAATAAGAATCCATTTTTGTTTAATTTAATTTCCAAAATTTTAGGAGAGGCTGAGTCAAATTAACCCACCAGTAAGATTTTGTCGGAAAATGACCAAATATGGGAATTCTGAGTAAAACCTGATACAGCACAATTTAGCACTCTTTAGATTGGATAGGAATTCGTTTTTGTTTGATCTGATTTCCAAAACTTTTTTAAGAGGGGTGGGGGGCGCTGAGCGTCAAGTTAGCCCCCCTAGTAGTGATGCCGTCTCGTCTCGACTTTTCGAGACGAGAATGCCTTTTGGTCTCGTCTCGTGAAGTCTCGACGAGACGAGACCAGACTCGGCGAGTGTCTCGTGTAGTCTCGAGTCTCGGGATTACACTTAAATTTTGTCTTTCATAGCTCTATTATTGGACTGTTCTGGACTATTTGAATATGAAATCAGTAAAATAAATATCAGGGTTACTCTTCACTGTGATTTCTCGCTAATTGCTTTTTCACTGTGGCAGTTTGAACTTCCATTATAATATAAAAACAAAAACCATAAATACAGGGTGTCCGAAAAATAGCGTAAACACTCTCCACGTAGTAGAGGACCCTTTGAGAAACCCTAGAAAAATATTTAAATTAAAAAAATCCTTCTCCAGCATTATTCTTGGTAATATGAAGAGGTAGATGTGAAAATTCACCTTCGAATTCTTCAGGTAATTACATGGGTATTTAATTTAATTCTCTGACATATTGTCAACGGGATATTTTCAGTGTTGCCAATTTTAATAAATATTAAAATGCAAATAACTTTCTTAAGAATGCCACTAGATTTTTTAAAGTATTTTTTTGGGGTTCCTTGTAGGGTCCTCCACCACGTAGAGAAGAGTTTTTACGCTATTTTTTGGACACCCTGTATAACTCGAGACCAGACGAGACCACTCGAGACGAGACGAGACTTTGGTACTCGAGACCGAGACTAAATCACGGTCTCGTCTCGAGATGTCGAGACGAGACGAGACCAACCCTAAGTCTCGTCTAGTCTCGTCTCGCGCCATCACTACCCCCTAGTAGGATTTCCTCGGAATAAAATGACCGAATATGGAAATTTTGAGGGAAAACTTGATACAGCTACTTCAGATTGAATAGGAATCCATTTTTCTTTGATCTGATTTCCAAAATTTTGGGGGGGCTGGGCGTCAAGTTAGCCCCCCCAGTGGGATTTTGTCGGAAAATGACCTAATACGGAAAATTTGAGAATAAACTGATACAGCACAGTTCAGCACACTTCAGATTGAATAGGAATCCATTTTTGTTTGATCTGATTTCCAAAATTTTGGGGTGGCTGGGCGTCAAATTAGCACCCCCAGTAGGATTTGGTCGGAAAATGACCGAATATGGAAATTTTGAGGGAAAACTTGATACAGCTACTTCAGATTGAATAGGAATCCATTTTTCTTTGATCTGATTTCCAAAATTTTGGGGGGGCTGGGCGTCAAGTTAGCCCCCCCAGTGGGATTTTGTCGGAAAATGACCTAATACGGAAAATTTGAGAATAAACTGATACAGCACAGTTCAGCACACTTCAGATTGAATAGGAATCCATTTTTGTTTGATCCGATTTCCAAAATTTTGGGGTGGCTGGGCGTCAAATTAGCACCCCCAGTAGGATTTGGTCGGAAAATGACCGAATATGGAAATTTTGAGAATAACCTGATACAGCAGAGTTCAGCACACTTCAGATTGAATAGGAATCCATTTTTGTTTAATCTGATGTCCAAAATTTTGGGGGGCTGAGGATCAAGTTAGTCCCCTAGTAGGATTTTGTCGGAATAAAATGACCAAATATGGAAATTTTGAGGAAAACCCTGATACAGCCACTTCAGATTGAATAGGAATCCATTTTTGTTTGATCTGATTTCCAAAGTTTTGGGGGGGCTGGGCGCCAAGCTGGCTCCCCTAATAGGATTTGGTCTGAAAATGACCGAATATAGAAATTTTGAGAAAAACCTGATACAGCAGAGTTCAGCACACTTCAAATTGAATAGGAATCTATTTTTGTTTGATCTGATTTCCGAAATTTTGGGGGGGCTGAGCGTCAAGTTAGCCCCTCGACTTTTTTTTTCCTATAACTTTGGTATATCGGAACAGCACATTTCAAAACAACATCGGCACACTAAAGCACACTTCGAGCACAATAGGTGGTTGCATTTTTGTTAGAAAATTCGGATGTGGGAGAGGAGCTAACTTGACGGAGCCTAGATTTTCTTATAAATCTTATAAGAGACACAGCTGCAAACAAACACTCGACAATACTTAAGCATACAGCCAGAATGATGAACCATGAAGAGGCCGAAACATTCCTTAAAACAACGGACTACATAGTGGCCAAATATTTTTTCGAGGACAGGATAAGGGTTACTATGCTTCAAGGGAAGATTGGGATCAAACCCCTATACATAGGAAAAATGAGATAGCAATCTTCACAGATGCCGCAAGAACAAAAATCGTCACCGGAGCCAGAGTATACCTACTCAGTAGCATTAAACATTCAAGAGTCATACACACTCAGGGATGATTCCAGCTGCCGGAATAAAAATAGTTTCCTGGAGGACGAAGATGTGGGAAAAGTAGGGACAATGGAACTTTGTAAAAACTGCACTGGCACTAAATGAAGAAAGGAAAAACAGGTTGAAGATTTGAAAGGAAACCACCCTGAAGAGGGAAAACAAAGGGCCAATGACCCTCCGAGTGCTAGGTCTAAGTTGTAGAGCAAACCCTTTGAGATCTAACTTAAACTATCAACCAGACCATAAAGAGATATCTAAAGCCCTCAGGAAAGATTTAAGATAGGTACTTCAAAGAAAATTAATTTTGAAGCAACGTGTTCCTGAATATGTTTTATTCATTTCTATCGACTTCACTATCCAAATTTGGTTTGTAATTTGTAATACCTAATCAATTTGGATCTCGTAAAATTTAAAGTAAAAAGAGCTTCAAACGTAAACAACTTCTGCAATCCAACCTAATCAAATATCAAACATTTAGAAACTGGGCAATTTTAAACAGCTACAACAACCGTTATTTAAAGTCGATTTTGTTTTAGATTGCAAGCACCTCTGGAAGACCACAAAAACAACCCAGGCATATTGGCCCTCCTACAAACAACGAATGCGAGGAATATATCAACCGAACACAACCAAGAATTCTAACTCATCCACCCAAAGGAGGTAAATTTTTGTGGTTTCTTAGAATAATTTATGTTACAACAAACGAGGTTTAAAATATCAACAAGCTACTTGTGCATGCTAAAGACATTTGCGATAAAAATAAAACAGTTCTATTATTTGCATAAAATCGTTTATTGAACCCTGATGCACAACGGGGAATCCCTTTTTGCAGTAATGCAGTTTTCTTATTATTTTTAAGCTCTCCTAATTTATCACATAAGTACTATTATACTTATTATACGGATATGACCTTCATTTAAATAAACATGAAAATCTTGTTTTATTATATTTACTGTGGTAACATTATCGTGCTTTGAATGGTGTAGAGCTAATAATTCGAATTGGAATTATTACTCTATGTTATGAGAAAATATTTTGTTCAAATTTATATAGTAACCTCCAATATCTTTAACTAAAATTCTTGTTCATTAAGCTGTAGGTAGGAATCTACTTCCTTGATTGTATGCGTCAGACACTTTATTCCACACAACTGATTTTACAACCTAAATACATGAATAGCCACTTTAAACGAATGTTCTTTATTTTCATTTTCAGATTTCTACGGACGAGAACAAGAAATAATCTTCCCAGATACGATAGCCGATCGTATTGACGTACCTTCAAGGATCAATGTTCCAAAATGTTCTGGGGCGCTTCCTTATTGCGAAGAATCGGAAACTTATCCGTATTCGCATATCAAAAGAATTTTGCAGCAGAATCATATGTTGAAGTCAGTTTTCGGACAAGATGAAGTAAGAATAAATCAGTTGATTAATTGTATTGAAACATTCGGAATACCCATTTTCGTGCTATTATAATTATTAAATGAATTACCTACTGATATTATGGTAATAACAACAAGATCAATAGGTAAATTAAAAAAAAAATAATAATGTATAATTACGAATTATTTCGATTGTTATATGGAAATAATTCCCACGAAATTTCCATATACGTGGAATATTAATTAATCAGCTTATTGTTTTTTTTTTTTTTTGAAGCAATAAAATTGGGGATTTACCTTCATGCGGTAAATATATTTATATCCTACTGAACTATTAAAACCATATAATACCTTGGTTACGATAATCATAAACAGGGTCTTAACTCCCAAGGGAGTTAAGGATTTTCATAACTCCCAAGGGAGTTAAGGAAGGGAGTTAATGATATCATAACTCCCAAGGGAGTTAAGGATTTCCATAACACCCGCTTTTACCTTGAATAGGTAACACTTTGACAAAAAATAGAAAATTTGATTTATGGCTTATTCCTTTATAAAAATAGACAAAATACAGTAAATTCAGTAGGATATAAAATTATCTATGTACCACGGGAATTATCAGGAGTTAATACCCACGGGCAATTGGTGTCCCTCGGGCCGGAGGCCCTCGGGACACAAACGTTGCCCTGGGGTATTAACACTTGCATAATTCCCTTGATACATAAATAACTATTATTTGCCACTCATTTGTAAAACGTCACTTATCAAGTCAAAACATAACCAGCGAAAATTGATTTTTACAAGCTACTGGCTCTACTGACTTGTAAAATTGACAGCTAAACTGTAAAAACTTTTTACAAGTCAGTAGAATTATTTATTTTTGAAAAATCGGTTTTATCACAAGAATAATTGCTTGTAGGTACCTTCTGGGAGACTTTTCTGGTGATAAACTGTTGGCTACGACTGCAGCTTCATTAATAATATCTTGTAATAAATTCATTTCTGGAAAAAAATTGCAAAATGGAAATCTGTCAAAAAACCTATTTATAACTAGAAACAACGTCTTAACAACGTATCATTCTCATAGTTATACCAACTACCAAAACTTCTGTGAGAAAAAATCAAGGAAAAACATATAAATTTCAAATTTTTGTTATGTATTGATTTTTTATTTGTCCCTATATCTTTTACAAATGAGTAACAAATAAATTATTGTACATTATACGCCAGGTAGCAGTTTTTACTGGCTCTTGAAGGTGATAAGCTCGCCTGGCGGCTCGCTAGTCATTTCCTTCAATCGCCAGTAAAAACTGTTTTACCTGGCTAATAATGTAAAATACTATTACCTTTATGTATCTACTGTTTGAGAAATTATGTATGAAAATACAGTAATTTTCTAGAATCCTGAGCTCAAGCAGACAGGGTGTTTTTCTTTTTTGAGTTACAAGGAAGGTGATGCTGCAATAGAAAACTTTTGAAACTAACCCAAACTTACTTAAAAAGTTGATTGATTGAATGCATTATTTGAAAAATAAAGGTTCTCGTCCAAGCAATGGAATTCAATCCGATGTACAGTTTTTGAATAATCATATAGTTTCCTATGTACAGTTTTTGAATAATCATACAGTTTTCTATATTTTCGTATGGTTCTCCATTCGTAGGTCGATCGAGTGTACGCCACTGGTATTTTTCTGTTTCTGACTACCCCTAAACCTTTGCATTTTAATATGATTTCAATCCTATGTACAGTTTTTGAATAATCCTATAGTTTTGTATATTTTCGTATGATTCTTCATTCGTAGGTCGATCGAGTGTACGCCACTGGTATTTTCCTGTTTCTTACTACCCGCTCAACCTTTCTATGTTACTATGAATTCAATCCTATGTAAAGTTTTTCAATAATTATACAGTTTTGTATATTTTCGTATGGTTCTCCATTCGTAGGTCGATCCAGTGTACGCAACTGGCATTTTCCTGTTTCTGACTACCCCCTGAACCTTTCCATGTTAGTATGAATTCAATCCTATGTACAGTTTTTGAATAATCTTACAGTTTCCTATGTACAGCTTTTGAATAATCATACAGTTTTGTATATTTTCGTATGGTTCTCCATTCGTAGATCGATCAAGTGTACGCCACTGGTATTTTCCTGTTTCGGACTACTTCCTCAACCTTTCCATGTTAGTATTGTTACTTATATGGGTGCGCAGATAAGTGAGACTACTTTTTCGAACTTTAAGGAATTTTATTAAACACAATAATATAAAAATCACATGAAATTTAACACCTCTTTACACTTCGAACTACTCCAAATAAAGCTTATACGGCATGATTATTTTCAAACGTGGATATTTAGTTCCTGACTTTACTATTTACTGCACTTGTCGTACGTCAATCAGAACTTAAAATCTGTTTTTTTTTAAATAAAAGTCAAAGTGACATTATGTTGGCAATACAATGTAAAATTGCCAATGCTTTCAAATTTTTATGTAGAAAAGGCTTGTGCTGCCAACATAGTTACTAAATTTTTGACTTGGGGAATTATCTTTAAAAAAAAAACAGACTTTATGCTTACGCGGTGCGCACCGGGGCTTTTATAGTTATGTGCGTCCTTCTCTAACACGCTCGAATTTTCGTGATTCAGTTCATATTGAGAATAGTCGAATTTTCTGGCTTCTTTAACTGTAATTACAGGGGGCAATCAAAAAGTACGAGTGGCGGGTTTATAACACTGCCCCCTTCCTCAAAGCTGTTCACCCCGAGCAGCTTATCCCAATCGCATCCAAGTCGGTGCGCTCTTGCCCTTGTATGTAGCCAGCCTATCCATGTGAAGGACTTTGGGTGTAAGTTGTATCGTGTATACCAAGTCGTTGATTTTATTAATGACCTTGTATGGTCCCTATGGTCATGGTCGGTGCAGTTTCGGACTAAGTCCCGTTCTTCGCTGTGGCTGATACAACCAGAGAGGACCGCCTCCATTTAAGGTGTTCAGTGACTGCCGTTGGTCGAGTCTCATCTTCATTCTGTCACTGGTCAGACGTAGCTTATTTCTGGTCTGTCCTGGATATCAGCCACGTAAACTGGAAGTACAGCCTCGTCTTCATCGACTGGAAGCCTGCCAAACATTAAATCTACCGGAAGCTTCATTTCTCTTCCAGTCAACAGCATAGATGGTGTATAGCCGGTGGACTCATGCTGAGAGCTTCTATAAGACAGAAGGAAGAGAGGCACTAGTTTATCCCAGTCTTGCTGGTGATCATCTACAAACATCGAGAGGTATTGACTGATGGTCCGATTGTGCCTCTCGATCATTCCGTCCGACTGTGGGTGAAGTGCAGTCGTCCTCGTTTTTCTTACTACCAGTAACCTGAACGACTCCAGAATTTTTGGTTGCCTTCTTTTTCTCTTGCCTTTGGCAGAATTTGCATGAGCTGTCAATACATGGTCTTCGTGATAGGCTGTCGGCGTTGGCATGACTCCTTCCTTCGCGATGTTTGATTTGGAAGTCATAACTTTGTAATTTCTCTAACCAACGCGCTATTTGACCCTCCGGATTTTTTTAAATTGAGCAGCCATTGCAAAGCAGAATGGTCGGTTCTAACTAGGAATTTCCGGCCATAGAGGAAGCTGTGGTAATGTTCAATAGATCTTACTACTGCCAGAAACTCCTTTCGGGTGACCCAATAATTCTTCTCTGCCTTTCCAATGGACTTACTGAAGTATCCAATTACTACTTCTTCGCTGTTTTGAATTTGGGAAAGAACTGTCCCTATTCCACTTTGCGAAGCGTCGGTGTCTAACATAAATAGACCTTTATCCCTGGGATACGCCAGAACTGGAGCACTAGTCAATTTATTTTTCAGCTCCATGAAAGACCGTTGACATTCAGGTATCCAATCAAAACGAGCGTTCTTTTCAGTTAGTTCATGTAAAGGCTTCGCAATCTTCCCAAAATCCTTGACAAACCGGCGGTAGTAACGTAACTGCAGAGTTCCAGGAAACTTCTAACTTCATGTTTATTCTTTGGTCTGGGCCAATCTCGCACAGCTTGGACTTTATCTGGATCTGTCTCTATTCCTTTTGATGAGACGACATGGCCGAGGAAGTTTACTTTTTCCTGGAATAGGACCCACTTCTTGGGATTTAGTTGCTAATTGGCAAACGAATCCTGGCAAAAACTTCCTTCAAATTCGACAGGTGTTCGTCAAAATCTTTGCCAATCACCATGACATCATCCAGATATACCCTGCACGTTTCCCAAGTCAGTCCTGGCAAAACTAACTCCATCAGTCTTTCAAAAGTGGCAGGTGCATTGCATAATCCAAACGGCATGACGTTAAATTGATATAGGCCGTTTCCTGCAGTAAATGCGGTCTTCTCTTTATCCTCTTTATTGAGTTCCACCTGCCAATATCCACTTTTCAAGTCCAGGGTTAAAAGCCACTTAGATCCTGATAGGGTGTTGAGGGTATCGTCAATCCGGGGTAATGGATAGCTGTCTTTCTTCGTAACGTCATTCAACCTTCTATAATTCACACAAAACCTGGTAGAACCATCCTTTTTCGTAACTAGTACGACCGGCGATGACCATGGACTATTAGATTCTTCTATGATGTTGTCCTTCAGCATTTTCTTAAGCATGGTTTTAACTTGCTGTTGCTTTGCGAAAGGGAGTCTTCGTGGTGGCTAGCGAATGGGTGTAGCACTTCCTGTATTGATGCAATGATCTACCAAATTAGTTCGTCCAATAATTGTATCTTGCACAAAAACACCAGCCTCTTTCTGCACAAAGTCAATAGCTTTCTTCTTTTCTTGCTGGCCTAAGTGATTCCAGCTCTTTTCAAACTTCTCCAGAAGCTCTATCGATAAATATGCTTCATTTGACACAGGCTCCTTCTTTGCGCATCTGACTACTCGTATAGCTAGTGCACATTTGTCAATGCCTTCTCCTTTCTTCAATGTCACACGGTTTGTTGTTAGATTGGCCACTCTCACTGGAAAAACATTGTTGAAATTCACTAAGCATTCACTAAGCATATGCTGTTGGTTCCATGATCATGGTGTTCATGCCTTCTAGCTGTTTTTCTAGGTGTGCCCACACATTCGACTCACTATTTTCAGGAATTCGTGTATCTCCATCGACGATTATTCTAATTTGACAGTCCTTATTTGACGGTGATGAGAAGAGTATTGCTTCGTTGCCCACTCTCAACATTTTATTTTTCAGTCCACTGATAGGAAATCAAAGGTTTTTAGGACATCCACTCCTCATGTAAATTCATCCACTATGACAGAAACTATCACTTCTACCTTAAGTTCGGTGCTGCCTATTCCCAATGTCATGGTGGTCTCTCCAAAAAACATTTATCAAATCTCCCTTAGCTGTTTCTAGCAGTGGTTTATTTCTTAACATCATTACAGAGTCCTTAGAAACCTTGTCGGAGCCAACCACTGATCTTGATGCCCCTGTGTCGATGGTCAAATCACATTTCTTGCCGTTGAGGGTGCCTTGGGCAACAAGATTTTCAAAATTCTTCTAGATAGAGAACACCCTTACTTTGGGGGCTCGAGAATCGGTGGTCGCCAGCATTTGCCCCCTTACACTGGCCAGGTGGCGTTTCCCTGATGATGTCTGGAACCACCTTCTTCCTCCGCTTCACGATCTCCTCGGCCGCAGTTGTAGCATTTGATCTGTTTTCTGGCTCTTGGTTCTTGATCTAACTTCGCGCAGAATTCCTGAAACAGCGCCTCCAGTTTTAGGAACATATCTGCGTCTGAGTTTGGACGATCAGCTGCTATCTTCACTTCCCTGATCTTGCTTCTTCGATTTAAAGAGGCATTTTTGGCAGCTTCGCAGTGGCGCACCATTTTTTTCTTAGAAAATATTCCATACAAATCCGGTACGGACCTCTCTGGTAATTTTTAAAAAATATAATTTCACATCAAAAAAATGCCTTTTGTTGCTTGGAAGCAGTGTACAAAATTTTAATGAAATATCTAGAGTGGTTTGAAAATTATCATGTAAAAATAGTTTTTTTCTTAGAATTTCATCACCCTGTATCTCGGAAAGGAAACATTTCCAGACATATGTTTATATAGGAAACTAAGGCTCATTTTTGACGTAGAATTTGCTAAAATTTGGTGCATTAATTTCAGAACACCCTGTATATAACAATAAAAAATAATATAGGTATCTATATCTATTTAGTCTTCATTTCTGACTTTCAATTTTACCGTTAGTCACGTGAAAAAATCTCAAGCAAAAAAACAAAATCGACATGTCCGAGCAGTTTTTCCAAAACGCCTTCGTTTAATTTATATTGAATATGTTCCATACTTTACGTTCACCCTGTAAATTTAATAAAAATAGATATTTATTCAACAAGTGTGTAAAGTGAATCTTTTTTTCACAAATGTGGATTTTGAGTGGAAAATCGTGCTTTACACACGTATTGCATACAGAATTTTTTCTACTACCAATAAAATATGTGTAAAAAAAATAAATTTAGACAAATACTTTACACACTAGTGCGTGATGTATTTAATCACTTTACGCGCTAGTGCGTGTCCAGTATGTTTATTTCCCAGTCGGTTACTCTTTTAAGATGTAAGTTCCTGATCCAAGATGGTGGTTCTGTCAGATTTAGCCTTCTTTTCCTTGTGAAAGGTACAATTATGGTTTTGTTGGAATTGACGCTTAAACCCTCCTGGGTCCTTATTCTCTCTCTTATTTCACTCTTGAGACTAATCCAAACTTACTTGAAAAGTTGATTGATAAAATGCATTTGAAAAATAAACATTTAGTAATCAACCCCTATGATACCAAAGTTCTTTTCAGTCACCTCCCTCGATAACCAACAGACTGGGCGACGAAGATGAAAAATTTGTCTGCCACTCGATCAAACAAACGATTTTTCCAAGAGTGGGAGAAAATAAAAACAACAAATTGAAATTTATTATAAACCAAGGAGAAAACGATGAAGATGGCTTCGTGCAGGGTATTCAAGTGGAGATTTGCAAAAAGTAAGAACCAATTTTTCAAAAAATCACATTCAAAAGTATTATTTTGTTTTTCGTTTTAGTCCAGATGGAGACTGTGATATTCCAGGTGGTTCAGCTCTAGGCGACGAATACATAATGACTTGTAAACAAAAGTACGTTTATAGAAGACTATTAACCTTGGACCAAAAAGGAGAAGCTATTCCAGATTCGTTTAAAATGCCTTCAGCTTGTTGCTGTGCGTATAAGCAAAACTTTGACTTTTTAACTCGGTTTGGTAAAGGTATGACTCCGGCACCCAAAAAGTCTAACAATGTGAAACATTGACACCCACAACTTTCAGTAGGATTAAGTTTCATGAATAAATTAATAAGAAAAAGAAAACACTCAAGTAAATCCTCACAGATTAATCAGGCATACATATATTTGTTTATGGTTATTTTATATTTTTATAAATTCATTTTATTTCAAATAAATTTTGTATTTCGTTTGTGAAACTTTGCTGTTATCATTTGAACTTTTGCAGGAAATTCAAAATCTAACAAGTAATAAGAAATTATTGTATTTATTTATGGTCTCCAATAATCTATCATAAAGTAAATCTTTAATGTCTTTAGCAGTAATGAAGTCCAAATGATTGAAAAGTTCATAGTCTACTAAATGTTGATCGACCACATTTGGCATCTCGGATAATAGCTTTTCAACGTCCTGAAAAAGATTAGAAGACCATAATAAATCCTAGTTTTATAATGATAATAATTTTTAAGCAGTTTTATATTAATTTGATGCAATATTACCTTTATACTAGCAAAAAAGTCATTTTGCGCATAATATGCTGCTACAGGAGCTGTAATTTTGGACACATCATACTTTGGAGGAACAGATTTTCCATAATGGATCAGATTGCCTTCTATTCCATAATCAAATTCTCTAAAAGAATCTGAAAATATGTGTCTATGCTTAAATGATTGCTGTCAAAATGAGTTGTGTGTGAAAAGAAAAGGTTGAACATTATTATTGGAATAAAATGAAGTTACCTGTAATCATTTCTTGTCCATAATGATAAAGTTGCCGCGTTCCTATTCCGTTTGGTTTGTCCGACAAAAACACCAAAAACAAATCCTAAAACCAGAAAAATTATTACTAAGAAGATAAAAAGGTAAACTTATATGTCTTACCAAATCAATTTGATCGTAATCGTAGCCAACAAGCATTTGTACAAAATTGGCACACGTTTGAGGAATTATATTGCAACCTTGAACTACTAAAATACTGACTTCTTCGTAATATGGCAAACCGTGGAAGTTTAGTAGCTCCAATATGAACTAAAACATTTAAGTCTGCAATAAGATTTTGAGTTTGAATACTGGTTAATCTAGGTAAAAGGCAAATCTGATTTTTGAGCTTCTATTTTTTTCAGAAATGTTAACCCGGTAGTCATATTTCAACTGGGATTGAAACACCGACTTTAAAATTGAGGAATGTTTTTTTTTTTTTTGAATATCCATCTGGTATTATTCAAATGTATTAGGAGTAGGTACTTTTTGTCTAAAAATGTTTTTTGAACATCATCATCACAAACAAAAAGATGCAGATTTAAAAACGATTTTCACCAGGAGTCCAAAAATGTTAGAAGAAATCTTAGTCCTACCTTTAGTTCGGTGAAATATTTAGCCATGATCAAAGGAATAGGACTAGTAACACCACCCATATAACCAATTGGACTCAGCATAACAATAAGATTAATTTTGTCATTATATTCTGGCTTGGTTGTAGTAAGGACCATCGATGCCGACGTTCCTTCCGAGTGTCCAATAACTGTTATCTTAATTGCAGAAGTTTAGGTGAGTATTTTAAAAGTGATCCTCAGTTTACCTTATCCAAACCAGTAAATGAAATAATATAGTCAATATTAGCAGCAAGATCGTAGTAGCCTTTCTCATGAAAACTGAACTCCCAGAATTCAGCTTCTGATCTGTTCAAAGTTTGGTGTTTCATTGAGTATCTTGTGCCTCTTGGATTTACTAGCCAGATATCGTAGCCTTAAAAAAATTTAATAGAAAATTCCTACAAAGTTGGAAGAGCCTCACCCAAATCTGCCATAAGAAGTCCCAAAGCTCTTCCAGGACCCAAATTGACAAAATCCATTGAAGTACAGGATATGCCCGGTATCAATAAAGCTGCTGGTGATTTTTGACTTGAATTCGTACCGCTATTTGTACTTTCTCGTGCTGGTATTCGGTGCAGAGTGAGTACGAACCCATCGTCGGTTGTTACTTGGTGAGTTTCGATGGGGTAATTGTATTTTTGAAGATATTTTTCCTGGAAATAAAATGCAGCCACATAAAAGACCACAGGAAGTAAAGGAGTAAACATTGGTGGGATAAACATAAACATCAGGACAATTTTTTATTAACAAATTTCTAAATTAATTTCATGTAGAATAGTATATTATGCAATGATCATGTAATGATAGCCATTAATACACGAGCATGTTGTAGGATACGAAACGAGCCGCAGGCGAGTTTCGTATATAACATGCGAGTGTATTAATGGCCATTACATGAGAGTTGCATACACTATTTTTTCTACTGCCATTGATAAAACTTATGATATTTAGATATGTCAACATTATGCTTAACTTTTAAGAGATTTTATAATTGAGTAATCCATACAGTTGAAGGTTTCATTTTTTGTTGTAATTCTTCAAAGTATACTATCAAAACATTTTCTGAGAAGGACGATGTGTTTTTGGTGTTTCCAATCCATAAATTGTCCATATAATTTTTCGCAAATTTTCTTGGACTTGTCCGGTAGTATATTATTACCTGCATTTGTCGCCTTTTCTGTAATTTCTGGAGGTGTTAGTAAAAATTCTTCGTTATCACTCAATATTTCCAGAATAATGCCTTATCCCAAACATTAGGTAACTTTTAATAACAATTTGAAGTATTTTTTTCATGAAATTATTGTTTTTCGCTAAATTACCATGGAAAAGCTATAAACAAAGTGCTGTCATCATTCAGAAAAAAAATAATTCAAAATTTCTTAACTGGTGGCGCCATCTATTGACAATGTATAATAATGAATAAAGTAAAAATTCTTCCTTACCACTCATTATTTCCATAATAATTATTCTTTGTCCCAAACTTTAGGTAACTTTTAAACAATTCGAAATCTTTTTTATAGTTATCAAAATAATTGTTTTACGCAAAATTACCGTTAAAAATGTTTAATATCTTAACTAGTGCTGCCATCTATCAACATTGTATAATATTAAAAATGAGTATTATAATGAAAATCTGTATCGTAATGAAGTTCATTATAATACAGATTTTAATCGTTTAATAGCGTATTATGAAATGTCAGTAGAAAAAAGACATTATTTCATTATAAATGTGAGGATTTTCAAGGAATAATAAGTGATTTAAATTAAAAGGAGCAGTAACTTTGATTTTTTTCGTTCGAGCGTCATATAATTGCTGGATTTGATCTGAATATTTGGCACATTGAAAGAAAATGTGATCAAGGTCTCCTCTTACTTGGCATACTTCACACTGATCAGAGAGTAGAAGACCTATTTTGTTTAAATGTGCTGGATAACAAACATGGCCAAACTTTAAACGAGTTAATAATGCAGTATATCTTCTGCTGACATTGTAACTTTGGTGCCAAAATTTATTTGGATTACTTGAAACAAAAAGAGAGTACTTTGTAGGAGCATTTCCACAGTAACTTTGCCATCTTTGATTCCATTTATGATTTGTTACTGATTTAAAATGAACACTTGCATCACTAAGTACAAGATCACTTTCTGTAGGAGACCCATCCTTAATACTGTCTTTAGCTAAATCGTCCACAAATTCATTTCCTTCAATTCCACTGTGTGATTTAAACCATAGAAAGGAAATTTAATTATGCTTCAATACATTGCGTCTGTAGCTTTTTCGAATGCTCCATAAAGCAGGATTAGTTTTGTACGACCAAGGCTTAACGGTATCAAGAGATTTAAGGACAGACATGGAGTCAGGAATGATGACATAATTTTTATTTTCTTCTTGAAGCACAAAATTCAGTGCTTCCTGTATCGCAAAAGCTTCAGATGTAAAGATGCTATAATTGCTGTCCAATTTAAATTTACGCTTTATATTTAATTGTGCAATATAAAATGCTGCACCATTACCAAGCTCTGTTTTAGATGCATCCGTATAAATAAGTATTGATTCCTTTTTCATATTTTGAGGAGATAAAAGTTGATATGGTATTTAGTAGATTTTTGTAATTTCTAATAGCTTCACATAATGGCGGGGATACTTTATATTCTGAGTACTTACTTACAAGATCAGATATACTCCATTTAAATATACTATTATATAGATTGGTGTCAAAAAAATTATGTTTAGCTAGGAATTTAGTACTGAGGATCTCTCATCTTAAGCTTAAGAGGTGCTCCAGAGCTTCAACCAACATCGCTTCCGTTGGAGTGGAACGCATCGCCCCAAGACAGAGCCTGATAGCCCTAAACTGAATACGATCAACTTTAAGTAAATTGGTTTTACTAGCAGATCCCTATAGAATACTACCATAGTCAAGTATGGATCTTGTATACGATTTATAAAAAAGTAGCGCAGTTGTGATATCATATCCCCACCAAGTTTTGGTGACTGAACGCAAAAAATTTAAACCTTTTTCACAAGCGGTAAGATAATCAATGTGATTTTTCCAAGAGAGTCTTTTATCCAATATTACACCGAGATGCTTGACTTCTCTTTTAAATGCAATTCGATTATTTTTGAGAATAACATAATTAGTGTTTGGAGTAATATGCCTTGAGAAAACGCAAAGAGATGACTTTTCTGCAGATATCTGAAAACGATTATCTCGAGCCCAATTCAAAGTCTTTTGAAAAGCTGTTGATATATCATTGATCCTGTCTTAGTTTTCATAGTGTCATAGTCAAACCTACTTCTGTAACAGGAACTCGTAGAGAGGTTCTAGATATTACTTTTGCCTCTCCTCGTATAAACTCCTAGATAACTGCTTGGCGCGTGTCAGGAGAATCGTATCTGTCTGGTCACAGACATATCTGCATGGAAATCTCACAAGATGAGAGGCCAGCAGAGCAGTTTCGTGATCTGAGGAGGATGAACTGGGAGGTATATGTAGAAGTACTGCTTACTAACTGCAAGCAGGTCAAAACTGATATTAAAAACGCCACTGATATAGAAGTGGCAGCTAGTAAATAAACTACAGGAGGTTATAATAACCTCTTATCTCATCAGAACAACTGTCCCCTGAGGAAGCAAAACTCCAGAAAAGGAACCTCCTGGTGGAACAAAAAACTTTCAGATCTCAGGACGGAAACATGCAAGCTGTATCACAAAGCGAAAAAAACATGCAGGTGGGACGACTACCTACCACTCACCCTTAACCATGTATAATAGTCAGATCCGGAAGACAAAAATCGAATCATGGAGGAAATACTGCCAAGAGGTTGAAAACACCAAGGTAGCAGCGAGACGTCAAGAAATTCTGTCCAAGGGTCCCTTAAATCCAGTTGGGCCCCTTAAAAAACCAAATGGCATCTACACACATTCTGGAAGAGAGACTCTGCTGATTCTACTACACACTCACCACCCAGAATCAGTCGAAATCATAACAGAAAAAACTTACCAATTCATAGTAATCACAAAATCCAGCCTACTAAAGAGAACTGGGACACTGCAAAAGAGATCATAACCTATAAAGAAATAGAATGGGTAATAAACTCTTTTGATCCATTAAAATCACCAGGGCCAGATGACATTATACCTGCTCTACTCCAGCAGGGCAAGTCCATCATAATACCATTACTCTGCAGGCTACTAAGAGCTAACTTAGCCACAGGATATATACCCCAAACATGGAGAAAGGCAAGAATGGTCTTGGAAAGATTTCTCGCAGGCAAAAGCGTTTAGACCAATTACACTATCGTCCTCTATTATGATGACGATTGAAAAACTCATTGATAAACATGTCAGAGAAACTTCTCTTAAAAAAAGCCACTACACCAACATGCCTATCAATTGGGTAAATCTTGCGAAACGGCCCTACACCAACTGGTAGCAAGAATAGATCACGCAAATGATAAAAAGGAGGTAGCCCTTGCAGCATTCCTCGACATAGACGGAGCTTTGACCGTACCTCGTTTGAATCTATGAACACTGCTTGTTCAGACACTGAGACACACACACCATCAGCAGATAACATGCTTCGTGGAAGACAAGTTCAGGCTACTCTAAATAATGATACAATGGAGATGTCGGTATCAAAATGATGCCCATAGGGTGGGGCCCTATTCCCCTTACTGTCGTAGATAAACTGCCCTTACTGGTCGTAGACGAACTGCCCTTACTGGTCATAGACGAACTCCTAGTAGAACTTATTAACAGAAATATTTATACAAACTGCAAAAATGCAGAGCGCTCAAAATCGTGGAAGACTGGGTCAAAGGGGCAAACCTGAGTGTCAACCCTGAGAAAACAGCTATAATCTCCTTCACGAAAAGAAGAAAACTGAACGATCTAGTCCCTCCCACTTTCTTCGGAAAGCAATTACAATTAGTTCGGGGGTCAAATACCTAGGAATTATCCTGGATGCAAAAACATGGGGACTTCTACCCCACATAATATATCGGATCTATACAGTAGTGGTAAGACCCAGACTAACCTACGGATCAATAGTCTGGTGGCCCCAAAATCGAACAGAGCAAAGCAATAATGGAGCTATTCAAACTTCGAGAGTGGCTTGTCTCTACATAATGGGTACAAGGAGAAGTATTCCAACTGCTGAGGGAAGAATGGGAGCTTACAGACTCAATTGTAGCCAGAACTGGAATACGAATAGAACATCCGGACACTATTTGAGATGAAAAGTGACATCATCACCCCGGGAATAAATACTCACAAACCGTTTAAAATTCGGATTAACTGGGAAAACAAAATCGAAAACTCACTAGTCCAGAATGGAAGCTTAGGGCCAGTTTCACAATAGTTGGTTAACTATAGGTTATCATGTAACTACTAGTTAAATAAAAAATGGTGTTTTATAATCCACGGTTACCTCAAGAACTTATAGTTAACCTAAAGTTCAATCAATCGCAGACGCAGATCTGGAATTAAGGGACATCGTTACCAGATGGCAAGGTTCAGTTCATGATGCTCACACATATTCCGAAATTCAGTTCTGATGTATGCTAATTTAGGAAGAGGTTAGTTTGGTGGCAATGTCATCATAGGAGACAGTGGATATCCAGTGAAACCTTATTTGCTAACACCCCTACG